TATTCATAAAGCACCTTTTGGTGTTATAAGCCTTTAATATTTGGAAAAGCCTCTATAATTTGCCCCCTCTGCACTGCTTTTCTTCCTATTTCCTGATTCTATTATACCATTTTGTTTTACCAGTTTTGAGACTTCTTTTTAACTKTGTTTGGCAGAACATGAATTTCAAAATTCAAAGGAAGTTAATACCCTTTGGTTTTTCCAAAGACCTAAAGCTCCCAAGCCCTAAACCTTTCCTCCACTTCTTGCCTCTTGGTTTCCCTCTTACTCTGGGTCTTCTTCACCTTGTCAATACAATATCCGTGTCACTGATTAATAGAGGATTGCTGCTTGTCAGTCATACAAAAAGGTTGGTCTTTCATTTGGGATTCTGGGGTATGTCATAATCAATTGGTTACCCTCTGCTCCTGCCATAACAAGAAGATTCAAGAAGGGGAGTCCATTCATTGACACCGAATCACCGAAGATGCAAGGACGAACTGAAGAAAAGAAGTTCTTGATAGATCTGATTTTTGCTTTCCAATGCATAATCTCTTTGAAATTTCAGACATGCCTAACCTCTTCTGTTTTTTTCTCTCTGTCTTTATCTCTTTATTATTATTAATATTATATTTATTGTTGTTGTTGTTGTTGTTATTATTATTATTACTATTATTATTATTATCTGAATGTTTGCTGAATCAAATTCGAATATAACCCATTTGCATCCCTATGGCCAACAGCCTTAAAATTTTAGTAAATATTGAACCCAGACAAACCCAAGTTGCACTCCCATGGAAAAATTTGTAGGTCGAAGGGGACTCAAAACTGGTGATAGCATGGACTAACACCAGGAGTAATGCTCCTTGGATTTATAGACATTCCTTAAGGGAGATTGAAAGTCTATCAAGGGAACTTAATATTTCTTTCACTTGAGTCAGGAGGATGGCAAATGGGATGGCTATTCATTAGCCAAACAGGGAGTTTACAGGCAGCAGCTTTTTTGGGCTTGATTGTAATACTATGTGGTGCATTGTCTGTTTTATATTTTTCTGTATTTCTGTAATTGGCTTCTCATAATTGAATAAAATTCTTCTTTGCTGATAAAAAAAATCCAATAACAATCCACACTTGAGGAGAATATAGGTCGGCTTTTAAGGTGCAAATCTAAGGGACATTCAAGGGTTACGAATAGGAGGAAAAGTTGATTTAGGTGGGGCATTAGGGTTGGAAAGATGAGAAGACAAATTACAGGAATGCAATATTTATCATAAAATAACGTAAACAGTATTAGCAATTATAGGCTCCATCTTGGATCTGACCCCATTTCATGGTCTCATGGTATGACCGATTAGCAATTATAGGAGGAAAAGTTGATTTAGGTGGGGCACTAGGGTTGGAAAGATGAGAAGACAAATTACAGGAGTGCAATATTTATCATAAAATAACGTAAACAGTATTAGCAATGATAGGCGGCTCCATCTTAAGATCTGACTCCATTTCATGGTCTCATGGTATGACCGATTGAGAAAGAAATATCCCTTCAACTTTGGACAGAGAAGTTTTAGGGCCACTTCTGGCTAATAAACTGAAAATTGTTCTACCATTTTACATTGTTAATAAATTAATGTACTTGCAATCTCCTGTGTAATAAACTTGTCCCTATACAATTTATTTCTCTCTGCTACTTGAAACACTTTTTAAGAATCTTTTAATACAAAGCTATATGGAAACCATACTGATCTCCGTATTCTATTAGATGGTTTCTTTGGGGTTGTTTCCTCRGCTTCTCTTTAATTCATACCACCCATTTCCTTTTATGGTCCTAATCCACTGTTTTTTTTTTCAGGCAAACTAAGATCCACAATATTGGTGCAAGACTAGTGGGAGTTGATCAATTTGGAAATAAATATTATGAACAACTTGATACTCAATATGGTTAGTAATTCTCTCTTTCATGCATCTTCTTTAACTTACAATGGCAATGTAACTATGTCAGTACTGAAGTGGAGAATTTTGAAAAGAGAACAGAAGGAGCCTTTTTAAAATTGGGGCAGTTTTTGTTGGTCTTATAGACAGTTTTTGGAATGATTTAACTCAATCAAATGCAAGAGTAGTAGAAGCTATTTACATTTACTAATTGAATGCCCACACAAGGCCTTAGAATAACACCTTCCTATTTAATGACCTTGATCATCCTGTCTTAGATTTCAATGCATAACTGTTTGTCCTATAAAATCTCCTTAATGGTAACACCATTGAATGGCGAGCCACCTAATTACTCCTGTACCGTGTGTATATATCTGCTTCTGTACCCATATATCTGGTTATGACTTGGACTGTGCCTTTACTCAATCATCAAGGCATGCTCTGCAGGAAGACACAGATGGGTGGAGTATGGGGACTTAGGTCGCTACAATGCTTCTCAGGTACCATCARAGTGGCATGGGTGGCTGCATTATATCACTGACCACACGGGAGATGAGGTGAGTYCATGGCCCTGTATGGTTTTAGTTCCATTTTTTGGCAAAGAAAATGTAATTGATGAATTTTATATGGCAGCTTCTGATGCTGAAACCAAAACGGTATGGTGTTCCACACAAGGAGAACTTTTCTGGAGAGGGTGACGAATACATTTACCATTCCAAGGGCCACACCCTCAACCCGGGACAGAGAGACTGGACAAGATACCAGTCATGGCAGCCCACAAAGACCTAAATTTTCTTCTTCAAACAGTTCCTTGAGAACATGGAAGGTTGTTTGGGATCTGCTTCTTTTTTTATGCAACTCTCTTCTTGATATGTTTGAGGACGTTGAATAATATGAAATCCTGAATATTTTCTCAGGAAGAAAATATGATCAAGACAGAGCTTTGCTAGTGACTTCATAACCTTATTAATGATCTTCCTTGTTGTCTGTCTATAATTTTCGTGCCTTAACAAGGAGCGTAGATTTTTTGGTAATCAAAGAACGTAGATAAGTTAAGTGGAAACTTCTTTGGTGCCTAATTGAAGTATAGAACTGCCCCTGCCCCGGATAAGTTTCAATTCGCCCCCTCCCCCACAAAAAAAGAAAAAGGGAAAGAAAATCTTTGATAAATAAACGTATTGGACTGAGCACAGGATGCTTTCRTTAAACGGAAATGGGTGGTGGTCGCTGGTCATTTTCATAATAATCCAGTAGGAAAGATCCCRTGCCATGTAATTTTGTAGATGTATGGAGCTAAAATGGCAGGAATGACCTCTCTCATATCTGTATGTTGTGACAGATCTCTTCTCAAAGGCACAAGCTCTATCTGATTTGCTAAATCAATTGGAATGATCCACTCACTACGATGATAAAAAAAAAATGATCCACTCTATTAGCTTTCTTTTCTACTTTGCCTGAAACAGTTATAACACTAACCTGTCTAAACCAATTGGTTAAAGTTGCCCTCACTTCTAGTTATTGCTAAACATTTCTTTTAGGTATAATGCCTTCACTCACTAGCTTTTCTTTTGTGCTATTTGAAATCATCACTATTTCTTTTCTATGGCTTTGTTTGAATCTGTTTCCATTTCACTACATGTTGTAATCACTAATAAAAGGAGGCAGTTMTGAGTAAAGATTATTATTTTGGCCTAGAATGTAGAAGAATTTACGAGTTTTCTCTTTCTCCTACATTGCTCGCCTTTAGAAAGATAGATGAACCTGCCTTCTTTTTTAAGAGTTGAAAGTCCTATTTAGCTGTTSAAGAAGACAAGTCACAAGACACTTCASCTAAACATATTTTGTTGAGGGTCAGGACAACAAATAAACTATAAAAATCTGCTATATATTTTAGCAAAAATACTTATAGAAGAATTGATGACCACGAAGGATAAGTATTTAGGTGGACCCATGTTCTTTCATTGTTTTAAAGTTCAAAGTTGGAAGTCTCTTGTCCACAAGGTGCAAAATAAGCTACTTGGCTAGAAAGCAAAAACACTCTCCCAAGCCCGAAGGGTCAATACTCATCAAATCCACTCTTGAGAGCACCCCCATTTACCATATGCAAACCCATTTTCTTATCCAGAAAGACTTATGATTGCACCAATTCCTTTTGGGGAAATTTTTGGTGGGGTGATCGTGATAATAGTAATAAGTTTCACTTGAAGTATTGGAAATTTGTCGAGCCAACTACACTTTGGTGGTTTGGGTTTCTATGATGCAAGTAGGCATAAAATGGCTCATATTCTCAAGCTTTGTTGGAAATTTGTTGAGCCATTTGCACTTTGGGTCCAAGTGATGCAAGCTAAATATGGTCATAATCTCAAAACACTCTAAAGGGCCTCAATGACTTGGGTAAGCTTGTTAAAATGTGCTTATAGGCGATGATTGGGACATTGGCATACACCATGACCCTTGGGTTCCTTTAGGTGGACAACTCTCTTTTCTTAATAGCAATAGGCAATATCATAGGGTGGTTGAACTTATAGACCATACCATTATGAGTTGGAAATCTCACACTCTCTCTTAGTTCATTGATACCAATTCGAGAGTTCTAATTACATCAATCAAACTTCCTCATCCATATTCTCAGGTTTGTGATAGATTGGTTTGGATCCATACCCCCCCCCCC